TTCAGACCATCTTGTACATTGATCAACAGCACACAGAACATATTTATAACCTCGACAGCTTGGTTCTAAAGGTCGGAGGATATCCACATTAATTACCTGGAAAGGTTCGTTAGGACGTGTTACTGGCGTAATCGAAATTTGATCAAAGGGACGCTTTTTAGCTTGAAATTGTCAGAAAGAATAAGTATTACAATATTCATTTACATCTTTCTTCATTTCAGGCCAATAGAAGGAACATCTCAATCGTTCGGCTGTCTTCTTGGTTCACAGGTGACTTCCCAATAAGCTAGAATTGCCCTCTAATGTAAATTACGTGAGAGAGACGTTGCAGGCAGTTCGGCTGAACTGCGCATGCGTGGTCATCACGTCATGACACCCGTGTAGAAGGATCGGCATAGGTAATCGGAGAAACACAGAGCTTTTTCTTTTAATCAATCGTGACACAAAAAGTTGACGTTAAGGGCATTACTAATGGTAAAACGAGCAATAGCTATGTAAAATGTACTTCATAATTTAAATTTACTGAATTTCTTTACTTTGGAAATATTAATATTTAGTTGCATTCATGCATTCAAGAAAATGTCATGTTTATTACTATATCTTGAGCAACAATTTTTAATTGTCAGTCTGCTCTCTATACCGCTGGTTTCGTATGCATAGTCTGAGATCAGTCCAGATGAAATCGTTAATTAGCTGATGAGAAGAAGATTTTAAGAATGACTGTAAATAGACACACATATTTTGATTCCCTGATTTCATACTTCTGCGCTGAAACAAAGTAACCTATTCGAATGATTTTTCAATCTTCTGCATAGGTGTAGCTTGAAAGAAATATAGATTTGTTTTTAGGATTGTTATGAGTTTTGGATATGTATAGATGATTTTCGTGCAATTATATGTGATATTGTTGTATTTTTTTGTATAAAGTATAATGAAAATCTAGAGAGACAATGTTATGTCGGTAAAGTACAAATACAGGGGCAAGTCTATTTAACACTAAGAGGCTATCTCGATAATTTGTTTCAGCGAAAATGTTGCCAAATTTGGCGAGAAATTACTAAAAGTCGCCAAACTTGACAACATTTTGGTCAAGTTGCTGTAAATGTACTTCGGCTCTAACATATGCCTTCCAATAATTTTTAAAAGCAGAAAGTATTAGAAATATCTCGGCGGTCGAGTGAAAAGTATATAAGATGGACGAGAGCATCAGTTTCTGAATAGTTGTTAACGTTTTATTTCAACGTAAGTCTGAAGTACTTCTGTTAAGATATCTTCCGGTTAGCATCGCTCTTTGGATGCGATATGCATTACTTTGTGTTTAACGTTCTTAGTAGTTTGAAGCGTAACTACTGATTGTATTCAGTAATTTTGTGAAGAGTTGTATGACTACTTTTTTATGGAAAGTTCCAGAACTGTAAAGTATATTCTTTGATAAAAACAATTTTGTCAACCTATCATCGAACTTGTGTGCATTCAATCTATTTTGAACACGTACGCACACAACACTATATTTCAGAGCTAATAAAAGTCATCAGAAGAAAGATGCATATGATCTGGAAATGTTTCACATGAGTCAACTTTCTTGTATGTAAAATTTGTATGAGTAGTTTGTGATCTAGAACTTTCTTCTGTTTTTAGTTAAAAATCTGTAGTAAGATATAATTACAGATATACTAAATAATAATTTAACGGTATAAAAAAAAGCATAACTTTGCAGACAAGTTGCTAAGCTAAATTAATCATAAAGTAGTTTCAGTCAGAATTATTTAAGTTATTGTCAATGAAATTCTTTTCTTTTCTATAGGACTTAGTATTTCATTGTCTTAATATAAGAACAAAAATCTTTTATTAATATGCAACATAAATTTTCTAAAAAAATTGCAGATTAAAAACAATTAAAATCAAAACTAAGACCGCATCGAAAAGGCAACCAGCGTCATGGGAAAGTCGAAAGCATGCAAAAAATGATCGAAGATAACGGTAAATAAATATTATCTGATGTATCAACAAAAATAAAAAAAAGTCCTAAAAATAGTAATGTAACTCACGATGTTGATAAAGACAATGAAATGCTTTACATGCTGCTTTTTCTAACTACTGAAATTGTTCTTGATAAAAGTTTTATAAATTATAGAAAATATAAAGTAAGAATAACGTATGACATTTCTATCTTAACCACTACCAGAAAATTTTCTGGAGGAAAGATATACGATAATTTTTCGATGATTATCTTAACACGGATAATAATAGCATTAATTAATTCAACTTAATAACAGCAATTTTCCCCATGCTCTGTTTTCTTGGCAAACTCTGACCGATGATAACTGCTTTCGACCATTCTGAATTAATCATAGGGTTCTTTTACATGTGATTCGCCCTCCTTTTAATCAATTCTAGCTCACATACATACAAACTGTTCTCAGTTTTTAGTATTCCACATCTGCAATAGTTTAGTTTTATTTATAGACATTTTACTACATTTACAACAAGTAAATTCCATAATTAACGCGAATTAGAACTTTCTCGGCGTTTCGGCCATAACCTATTTTGACATTATTGGATAGTTTCCATTTTTTTTTATTCTACAAACTACAGACTATTTAACAATTACTAATCCGGAAAGCATTACTAAAGAAATAAGTCAAAATCAATAAGATAAACTTAATATGTGGACAAAAACGGTTCGAAGCAAGATTATGAAAGAGATTTCAACTATTTATTACTACATCAATATTATAGCGTCAACAAAAAGTCCCAATAGCGTTTATCATGGACATCTAAAGCGTTCAACAGTGGATGAAATAAAATTAATTTTCAGGTATGTAGTATAATTTTTTGGGATATATAACTTTTGATAGTGTCTTTACTGAAAACTTGCATAAAGACACTGATCATATTTTCATCAAATTTTTTAGAAATGTAAAAAATTGATTGAAAGAAATGCTGGAACATACAGAAGAGAGATATTCAGTGCGAGAGCAACGGAAAGCCAAATGTATATGCATCTTTGTCATTATTTTTCGTACTATTAACTATATATATATACATATATATATGTAGTATATTCAAACTCAGAAGCAATGAACAGGAGCTAGAATTTTGTTGTTTTAGAATGCTGAAACGACGATCCACAATGAATAAGAAATTTGGAAGTCAAGGTATATTTAATTCAACTTTTATTTCGGTAAATATGTTGCGGCCACAAACAAGTTGGCACATTAAATGTGCCTATTCCAAGAGGTTTACATTTCTGATAACTTTGCAGCAAGAAAGAAGCAGCAGACTAGGCAGGCCAAAGCGTTGAAAGAAAGTCCGTAATGTTCAGGATGAAATCTTAAGTCAAACTGAGTTATTTTTGGTTCTCAAAGCATTTTTGATTGGATAGTTAATATTGCTTTAAAATCATTATTGGCTGCTTAAGTTTTAGTTCAATTTACATCACCAGAATTACGTAAGAGTCATATGACATGGACTTTTCTCGAAATGACGCAGTGCAAATAAATGTTGCTATATTTAGAATAGAGAAGGGAAATTAATTTACGCTGCTACTTTAATCTTCTACATATTCCTTATTTTTCTTACATACATATATATACGTACGTAGATTTCTGATGCATTTAACAAAGTTATAAAAATATACACTGAAGTGCTACTGAATTAGGGATAGACATAGCTATGCAAATTGTGTAGTGCTGCACAGCATTTATGCTCACGTGGGGAAGCTGTGGTAATTGCATATATAGCTAGTACTATGGCTGTTGTTAGTCAGTTATTTCAATTGGCAATATGAGTAAAACTTCTGATTTACACGCCTTTCGAACGCGGACAGATAGTAGGCGCTCGAAGCGTGTGCAATTCAATTTCCAAAACCGTCAGAGCGTTAATCTTTTCAGCATCGACAGTGTCAAAAGTATACAGAGAATACATGGATGGTTGGGGGAAAAAACTAGCAATTGGGCAAACTGCAAGTGAAAATTACCCTTGAACGAGCGTGGTGCGAGAAGGCTCAGCCGCATTGTGTAAAGCCAAACATTAGCTCAAATTACCACCCAGCTGCATCACGGCGCCAGTAATACAATCAGAAAACAGACCTTGCAACGCTCGTCTCACCGTATGGCCTTCTGGAGCCCTAGCCCCACAAGAGTACCATTGTTCAATGCTTGCCATCGAGCTGCACGTCTTGCCTGTGCAAGGGAACACACAGCATGGAATGATGAGTTCTGATTCCAACTATTTAAGCCGACGGGAGGCTGAGAATATGGCATGAAGCCATGAATTCTACGGGCCAGGTTGGAACTGCAAAATTCCATGATGGCTCAATCATGATCTGGTGTTCATTTCTTAGCAGCGTTAGGGATCTTTTTAGTGGACCAATCTCCCTCAATGCGATTCGATACGTAGATTTCCTGGGCGATCATCTCCAACTATATAAGTTATCTTGTCTTTCACACGGAAAGAGAATATTCCAGACAGATTATTGCACCTCTCACAGGTCCAGGCTGGGTACTGCTTGGTTTGATGAACATTGTTCTGACTACTCTGTTATGAATTGGTCACTTAGAAGCCCTGGCTTAAACCCTATTGTGCACCTTTGGGATGCTTTGGAAAAAGGAGCAGATCAAGCAGCACTAGCGACCCTTCCTAAATTATGGACAGCGTTAACCGATGTTTGGCCAAGCTTTCCAATGGAACACTTCCTCATACTTGTTGAATCGCGGCCTTGTCGAGTAGTAGTTGTTATCAAGGCCAGAAGAGGTCTAACTCGTTGTTGACTTGCGTTCCCTAATGCAGTGGCACTTTAGTGTAGTTTGTGTATTTACGTTACTTGTAAAAATACTACTGATCACAATAGAAAAGTCTCGTTACTTTATTTAAATAGTAAATTCTTTTGATAACTGTAGAGTCTTTGCGAACTTTTACATTTAATCCATATGTAATGTATGTGTGAGTAATGTCCTTTATAATATGATACATTAAATGTAGGTAATACAAAACCAAAATCCCCTTTCTCAAAAGACTTTATTAAGCTGATTTTCTACCAAACATAACATTTCGGTTCTGGATTCATTCTAGAACCCGGTTTGCAGTGGAAATCTTTGGCAAATTCTTCTGAATTTGATACTGGTCCTATAACCCTGAAAAAACAAACACATTTTAAAAGCATTTATTTAGAATATGATTTCAGCTCCTTAAATATTGTTGTATCCATAAAGCTTCTTTCTATTTTGAAACTAATTCTTTAATGAAAATCTGTATGTCAAATGTTTGCAATCATACGACAAACAGTAACATCGATAATCTCTGATTAAAGTAATAAAACATGTAACTAAAATCTGGAAAATTTTTGCTGTGTAAGCCAAAGAATTCTTTTTCTCCTTACCTAAATTTTTGGGGTGGATAGACACCTTCTTCAAGAACAGTCTTCAGATAGTCCGGTTCAACTTTCTCACACCATTTCTAAAAAAACAATTCAGTATTATATATATATATGTGTAATAATAAAATTACATAGTCAAGAATACACTTAAAATTCTAACTGTATGTTATTTCCATTTTTAATGGCGACGTTCTCTTATTTGAAAGTACGTGGAATTAAATCCACAGCCCCGTAGTCAAGTTGTTTTTCCCGCCTTTTGCACACGTACAGTTATAGAATGTTCTGGAAATATTTAAAGCGAACTGGATTGGCTGACGAGGCTGACGTCATTTCTTGGAAGCTCCGCCTTTCCAGAGGCTATAAAAGGACTCGCAAAAGATTATAGGAGGCTTTTTCTTAAATGACACGATGCAGTAAATTTCATACAAAATGTTATTAGTAATTCTTTTTTATTTACTCCGGAGAGCAGATTTTTGTAATTGCTATTTTCCCTGAAATATAATATATGGATCCTGTTTTTTAAACTTATCGTCTGATAATTTAAGTTACGACTACATCTATGATTCTTTAACAATCTATTTATTCTGGACAAAAGCTGGTACATCATATATATATATATATATATATATATATATATATATATATATATATAAACAAAATAAAAAATGGAAAGTAGGATAATTTTTAGAAAATATGCACAGTTTCATTTATTTATACAAGTTATATTTATTTTTAACTTTATTATATTGTTTATGTATGCTCAGTTTCATAATAGTTGGATTTATATTTAATTTAGTTACATTATATATAAAAACCAAAGTAATATTTATATAAGATAGCTCTAGTGAATAAATTTATTTCTCCTTGATACTGAGAATACTGTTTGTGGATAAGCAAGGTCATGCTTTTACATTTTATTTCTATAATTATTACTTCAAAAACTTGTTACTGTAATTCAATACTGAACTAATTTTGATTTAAATAAACTAACTGTTCAAATCAAAAACTTGAAGAGATACAAAGTAAAATGTTTATCAGTGGATACTATATAAATAATTGAATGGCAAATTCAACCTTTTACCATGCTTAATTGACAACATGCTGCATTAAACTGCAATATTGTAAACTATGGAAATCATATGAACACAATATTCCTTTAGCTTAAATGTCGGATCCTTCATTACTACTTAAAAATATGTATTCTCAAATATAGCGAACCACCTTCTTAGCTAATAAAAAATTCAAATACAGTGATCCCTCGTTTTTCACGTTTAATGGGGACCAGAACCTTCCGCGAAAGCTGAAAAACCGTGAAGTAGAATTTGCCCCTAGGAATTTTCGTGTATGCGGATACAAGAATGTTTTAAATATGTAAACAGTATTTATACTTTACACATCTAAGACAAAAATTACAACAGTATACGTATTTACTTAAACGTGTCAGTGCTAATTAATAAGGTTAATTACAAAACCTTAGACCGTAATAAACATTAATCAACATTGCTTTCTGAGAGAAGCGAAGAGTCTTGTTTTGGTGACGGAGGAGAGGCTCTCACTTAACTCGTAGAAACTTTGGGCTCACTCGGAGACTCTTCTGCTGGAGGCGCTGACGGTAGAGCCGGCGGCTTTACCTTGGAGAGAAACATGGTGACGGGTAATTGTTTTTCCTTTACCTTCAAAATTCCTCTATACAAGAACATAACCGACAACGCGATTGCTGAACTCGACAGCTAGAACCATATTGTCGTCAATGTCTTGTGCAAATTATTGCATCGCTCTTGCCATGTTGCACAATTGTTGCAGATTCTCTAGGGTAATGCCACGCTTTTCATTTTCTTCTTCGTTTTCTTCCTCACTTGCAGACTTTGTGATCTCAAGGAGGTCTTCATCGGTCAGTGGGTTCGAGTGGCAATCGATGTCTTCTTTTGTCATGTAAAGAAATCCTTCATTCCTCATAATGTGAGCCGGCCTCACCGCCTTCTCTACCGCTGAGTGATAAACTTCTTTAGGAGTGAAGGCTGGATAGTCGTGCACCACGTTTGGCCATAATTTCTTCCAGCTAGAATTTATGGTCTCATTCTTCATGTCCTTTAATGCTGGCTGAATATTAGACAAACATGAGGCAATGTCGTAACTACCCCAGTATGCTTTCAAGGTAAATTTGTCATTGGCATCGTCAACTGCCGAGATTAGGTCCTCCATCGTGGAGCGAGTATAGAGTGCCTTAAAGGCACGAATGACACCTTGATCCATCGGCTGAATTACAGATGTAGTGCTCGGGGGCAGGTGACGGAGGACGGGGACGCCTGGCATATAACATAGGTAAACAGCCATATGTCCCACGTCCTCCACTATCTCGAAGAAGCAACTCGCTGGAGCCCCGTAAGGCTGCCCTGGGAGTTTACATGGCCATACAGGGGCTAGATGTCAAGTAAATTTTACATAGGACGTTGTTAATAACACAAAGTAATTTAAAAAGAATATAAAGGATAGCATTAAAACACTAAAACAGACATATAAGCTGAAACACATAGATATACAAAATTAAACGTAAAATCATAAAAACACACTCGTAATTACGTAACATAAAGACATAAAAACACACACGAGAATACATATCATGACACATAGAATACATATGGAAACACGTAGAGCACATAAATGCAAATATTGCACACAGAAGAAACATATGAGGCATAGTAAGGTGTGCATAAAGCAGAAGCGCTGTGCGGAAATATGCTCAAGTACCCATAATACATAATGTGCATACTTTCATTAGGGGCTTCTGTTGCACAATTTACATATTTCGTTGCATACACTACATTCGTGCATTGTACGGATATTATATATTTCGATTTACGATAACACATCATTCCATTGGGTGCCCAGTGCTTTACACAGATAAACATGTCAGTAACATTATTTCTGCACGTTGCTGGCTATTGAAAGCAGATGATTACATGAGGCTCGAAATTGAATGTGGCGCTTACAGAATGTGTACATACTGCGAATACCTAATCGTTGAGTACATTGTCTGCAGTACCATGCTATTGTGGCTCGCAAATGTCTTGCCCTAGGGCGTTGATTTGCTGTACAACTGCGCAGATACTCTTTATAGCTGGCGGGTGTTTGATTATGAAACGATAGTAAAGTGTTCTATCATTCGTTGGATGTGGTAAATGGTGGTTTGTTGTTAGACCGCAGTCAAATAGGTAGTGCTCGGGAGAACCTAGCATGCCACAGACACAATTGTCAGATGTTGAGATGCAATGACGCATAAAATAAGATGGAAATGGGCCATGACTCGTTATGTACTGTGTCAGTGGGGCTATTGTTATAAGACGTTCCGTGTCTACCTTTGGTAGGAAGTTATACGTCCTTCTCCCTGTGTCGCCACTATTCCATTTTTTCTTGCCACTTTTCTTTACAGATATTACGCAGAGTTTTCTTGAGGTGTGAGACGGGGGTAGGGGCTCTTATAGTGACGTGTGTGACGGGGGTAGGGGCTCTTATAGTGCTCGGGGGCAGAAACCCTATCTGCACACCGTCACATTGCAGGTCCGTTGCATGGCTTCCGGCACAGTCCATCAGGAGAAGGACCTTAAAGAGCAGGCCCTTTTCACCCAAATACAGCTTCACCTGGGGAATGAAGCAATAGAGGAGTCAGAGCTTTCGTTATCCACGCCTTGGAGTTATGCATCCATAACACGGGCAACAGAGCTGTACTTTTGTTTTTAATGCCCGTGGATTTGTGGTTTTATAAATAAGGCCTGGCTTAAGCATAAAACCTGCAGCATTGCCAGCCATGATGACAGTCACCGGATCTTTGTGAGCCTTGAAGCATGACCTCTTCACTTCGTCCTTGAAGAGGAATGTACGCGAAGACATCCTCTCCCAAAAAAGGCATGTTTCATCCATGTTGAAAATTTGCTCAGGGAGGTAGCTTGCCTCACTGATGAGGTTAGGAAACTCTTCCTCCACGTAACGACAAGCGGCATCGTTGTCAGCAGAGGAAGCCTCACCATACAGAAGCAGGTTTCTGAGGCCGCATCTTTTCAAAAATTTTTCCAACTAGCCTTTGCTGGCTGAAAAGCCTTGTCCTCGAGGAGACGAATTACTCCTGGCAGCGCTATTACTGGCTTGAGGTTCGTCAGCACCTTCCTCAGCCTCTTCATTGTCGTCATCGGGCAAGATTTGGTCGTAGAAAGCTTTGGCCTTTGTCCTGATCATATTAGTGTCCAAACTTATTGTCTTTTTCCTGCACTCAGCAATCCACAATGCCAGTGCAGCTTCCATTTTCACAATTGTGTTATTATGTGGAGTTACCACACGTTTCGCTTCTTTATTGAAGGTTATTGAAGCAATTTAGCGGATGTTTGCTTTCTCTTTCTTGATGTACCGCGCTGTAGATTTATTCACCCCGTAATGGCGTGCCACAGATGCATAACTTCTGCCTTGTTTGATCATATCTAAAAGTTTCACTTTTTCGCTGATGGTCATCAATCAACTTTTTCCTCTTGAGTGCCCCGGAGAAAGCTTAGGCGACGTTATAAAGGCTTAATTAATAAAAAAAGTTATTGCTTAAACAAAAACGGTTATCGACAACACAACACTTAAATACAGTATGCGAGACAGTCAACATCATAGACAAGACTGCCGAGATACAACAAGAGAATATGCTAGGTGAGGCTGCGATGATGTGCAGACAATCAACTCACAGGGATAAATCCACTCGTACTCTCATTGGTCGATGTCGCACCGGAAATCAATCACGCGCCTTTATGAAAGCCCGTGATATGTACTCCGAGTAAACTCAGCTCATTGTTTGACATGCAGGGATCCTTCTCTTGCGCGCATTAACATGAAACAACGCTCCTGAAGCGCGAAGTAGTGACGGAACACTGTACACTCTTTTGCAAAAAATTGAAGCACCAAGAAGGACTTTTGCGATCGTGACGAAATTTGGTATGCAGAAACATCTTGATCGAACATGCAAATGATCAACGTTTCAAAGCAAATGAACAGGAATTGCGATCATAGCGCGCATTTCTAGTGCGCAATTCGCAAAGTATAAAACCAG